TCATATTGGCACTTTACACCTTTCTAAAAAAGAATTTAAGGAACCATATGAGGTAGATTTACAGTTCTATATAAAAACATGCTTTTCAACTTTGTGTAACATATGGCTAGATAATTTGCACAGATTTCAGGAAATTTGGTGTGTCCAGGATAGCTCAAAATCATCATTTTTTACTTGATAAATGATAATAGAATTTGATGCACAGAACAGATTTAGGGATACCAATGAATGTAACTAACTGTGATTTAAAATATCAAACATACTACTTGCATAATTTTTTACATTATCAATTATAAACATTTTATATAATAAAAGCTATTTATCTTTTAACCTACAAAAACTCTACCTTCACATTTATATTTTTAATTTTCCCTATATTCAAGATACTATATATTTATTGGCCTACTCATATATGGTTTCCTATAATCAAGATATTATATCTTATTTCATGAAGCAAATATTTATCATGTATCTGCTTTTTGCTCGACACTGGGGATACAGTTTAGACCCTAACAGAAATGACCTCTGAAAATGTAGAACCAGTTCAGATAACCTGTAGTGTTTATGGGAAAAAAAAAAAACTTCCATTTTTACTTTGATCTGATCAGAATATAATTTAAAATTAAGAGCTACAACAGAAGTTAATTGATCAATGTTGGTAGCAAATTCCACGTAACTATTCTCTTTTAAGTTCAATTTAACAAATATTTGTTGATTAGCTATTGCTTCAGGTTTGATATATATAGATACAGCACTGAAAAATATCCCTTGCCTTCATGGAGTTTAGTCTAATATTTCAAATATAAATTATGTACTATGTATATTAAATTCAACATATTGGAGAGTAATGTGGATTACAATTTACTTATTCTATTTGCAAAAGGATTCAATTTTTTTTTACTTGACTTGCATGCATTAATCTAGTAGGAAATGTTTGAGACACAAAACTGTTTAAGTGTTTACATGAATTTTTAAATAATTAAATGATACTTTTTCATAGAATATCAATTTCATATGTTATGATATTCAATTGTGGCATTTATTAAAATGACACAGTTCTGTTTTGTAAACTTGCTGGCTATGATTTAAAAAAATATATACCACTTTTTTTTCTATCAATTATTGCAATGACCAAGAATCTATTTGTGTTTTTCTGAATTTTCTGTGCTATATGTCCTACCATGGAAGTCAAATACAATGGAATGGGATTTACCTTGAGCTCATTTATTTATTCAACATTATTTATGTCTTTTCACTTTTCTAGGCTTTGTGCATCTTTATTTGAAAATCATACATTTGCACAACATTTTCTATCTTACTTAGAATTCCTCTTTTTTGTCATGGTTTAAAATTTTAATAATCACTTTGTTGCATTATTTTTTAAATGTTTATTTATTTATTTATTTATTAGAGAGAGAGAGAGAGAGAGAGAGAGTGTGTGAGTGGGGGAGGTGCAGAGAGAGAGGGAGATACAGAGTCTCTCTGAAGCAGGTCCAGACTCAAAAGCTCACAGGTTCCAAGCTGTCAGCACAGAGCCCGACATGGGGCTTGAACTCACTAACCAGTGAGATCATGACCTGAGCTGAAGTCAGACACTTAGCTGGCTGAGCAACCCAGGCACCCCTTACTTTATTCCCTTCTAACGGAAGGGAAGTTCTTGGTGTAACACAGATGGTACCGTCCAATAAGCCTTTCATGGAACTTGTATACAACTCTGATGTTCTTGTATGTTGGCAAAGAAATCTAAAGTATAATCAGACATTCTTCTGGTATCTTCCTGGATAAATGTCTTACCAAGCTTTTGTTTTTCTAATCCTTGTCCCGCTTTCTAATCTAAAAATGCAGCTCATAGTCAACCAAAGCAAAAACATTAGGGATCCCTTTTTTCTAGTAAATAATCTGTGTCCTTAACAACTTTCTTACAGGTCAGTATATTCCCCTAGCATCTTTCTTAGTTCAGAAATAAATCCAATTTAATATTTCACCACAAAACAAATTACATTAATGTTTAAAAAATTGTATACATTATAAAATCAATGTAAACTATACCAATGAATAAGTACAATATTAACATTATTTCCTATCCTATATTTAGGTAACTGAATTGATCAAAAGAAAATATAAGATAAAGTATACATTAAAACTATGCTATAAATGTCAGTAAAATATACATTTTTCTGATTGTGGTGTTTTGACACTCGCCAACAGAATACAATCTAAGCCAAGCATGAAGGAAAATACTATTTTCAGGAAAAATACACACATACACGAACAGACTATATGTGCCTTATGAATACATCATTAAATACTAGAAATTTATAAATCTTCCTGACCAGAATTGTTACCAGATGGTTGGTTTTGAATTTAGGGTGTTATCCAAGTTGATCATGATTGTAGTCGTAGTTTGAGATTTCAACTTGAATTATTATTAAAGAGTAATTAAAGATTAAACTTGAATTATTATTGCTTCCTTTCTAAATACTTTTCCAAGTAAAAACCAAGCTCTTGAGAAGAATATTTCTGAGAAACAAATGTCAACATTGGTAGCAGATTAATATTGTTGAAGAAGGGGATTTGATGAGATTATTATTCAGTATAATATAATCTGATTCTATTTGAATATTTTTAGATAGGAAGTTACAGATGGATATTGTGTTCCTTCAGTATGAACTGTTTGAATTATAATGTGAATCCTGAAAAATATACTCTTTCTACAATATTTGAGCCATTATCTTTTCTCCTCACATTTCTTTTTCAAGTAGAACTTTTCCAAATGTAAACTGAAAAATAACCTTCATTTCCTGGATAGCAGTCAAAATCTTTCTTTGTCACCTAATGAAGAATTATTCCTAGAGCAGAAGAGCATCACCTAATGTCTCATGAGAAAGCTATTAGTATGAGATCGTCACATTTTATAGATAGAAACTTAATGCCAAACATTAATGTAGAAATTCATTTCACAATCTTCTGTACATCTTACATCTCCCTTCTACTTTGATGAGGATTGTATGGTTAGGTCATGAAAAATAATGAACTGGGCTTTAGAAGTGGAGAGATGACCTAATTTCTTTTTGTTTCCTTTTTTTTCCTCAGCTGAGAAAATGGAACCAATAGTCAGTGAAAGGATTGATCATGAGAATAGGAGATTTTAAATGTGGAAAGCCTGGCAATGTCAAAATTAATTTGGTTCATTTTATACATGCAATGCAATAAGGCAATTGAGATGTGCTCACCCATCTCACTTCTACAAATACCCCTCTTATGGTGTCACATGTTCCTTTCATTCTTTTATCACCCTCTTTGGCTTAACGTGACTCTTACAATTTTTGCTTGGGATACTGCACAAAAAAGATTTTTTTTTTCAAGGCCATTATGGAAAATAGAGTGATTGCCTTCTCAATATTTATGTCCCTCTCCTTCCTCACTAATACTGCTTCTTGAAGTTTTGTTCAAGCAGCAATATGTCCACTCAACCTCTTACAGTGGGAATGGTCAGGGGATATTGTTCTGACCAATAAAAAGCAGACATAATCCTTGGAGAGAGCATCTCATCAAAAGAATGTCTCTTGCTTGCTCTTCTGTTTTCATCTTACCTTGAATTCAGATAGACACCTTTTCTTTAATATTTATTTTTGAGAGAGAAAGAGAGTGAACGGGGGTGGAGGGGCAGAGAGACTGGGGACAGAGGATCTGAAGCAGGCTCTGCATTGACAACAGACAGCCCGACATGAGCCTTGGGCTAAGGAGCTATGAGATCATGACCTGAGTCCAAGTCAGAAGCTTAACTGACTGAGCCACCCAGGTGTCCCCAGACATTTTTAGATACAGCAACCTTTTTGGGCTTGGGATGAGTAAAAACAGGACCCAAAGCAGATGTAGGTACTCTGGACACTACTACCTCCTATAGGTTTCTTATTATGTGAGAAAATCATTCCCTATCTACATAAACTATTGTTAACTGTTTTTTGTTACTTGTAGCAATGTTTAATGGACTCGAATATAATTTCTCTTAAGAGATAAGAGAGAAAGATGTGGTAATTATTGGGTAGGAAGATGTTATGTGTATTTCTAACCAAACATTTCTTCAAGTAAAAGAATGGTATTTCAAAAAAAAAAAAAAAGATTAGTGTTTGCAGAGGGAATATCTACTTCTTTTTCCTTTTTTTTTTTCTGGATAACTTAAAGCAATGTGAAAGAGAATTTACATATACGGTCAGCCATCGTTCAGGGGAAACAAGTTAGCTGATCAAAGCCAGTGATAAATAGAGAATCAAGTAAAAATTGGCTTTAATGAATTTTATCCCATGATCCTGTCATTGTTCCAGTGAACCATGGGGTTTTCATTATGTCTTGCTTTGTGTTCTTCTTAAAGAATAATTGGCAATTCTATTGATTCCATTTGAGAGGATCAAAGAACATTTTTCTGATTGAGAAATTAATTTTAGCTTTCATTTTGTTTTAATCACTCACCTACTGACTCGTCAATGTCACATTGACTGAAAGAATTTTTTCTTAAGAGAGACAGATGAGTTAAATAACCAAAAAAAGAGGATTAGTTAAATAAATATTATTTACTTTATGCTCTGGCATATTGTATTCTCATTAGAAATAATGTAGAATAATATTTAATTAACATTAAATACTCATCACTTAATATTAGACAAAACTAGTACGTTTTGAAATATTGCATGCAATGTTATTCCAAGTTCAGAGGATTAAAAAAAGGAAAGAGAATGAGAGTATCTATACCAAACTATGAAGTGTTTCTCTGAGTATTTGTGTTAGGGATGGTTGTTTTTCTCTGTATTTTCCAATTTTTTTTTCCAATTTCTGCAATCAATTTATGTGACCCAGTAATGATCTTTAAAAAAATATCTTGGCTATTAACAAAATAATTCTAATTTAACATTGAAAATCATTTAAGAATAAATAACTTTTATTGACTATCTTTTCGTCAACAAAAAGTTTGACTAGAAATATGTTTGTTTGTTTTAATACAGAAATCCTTAATGGTGGAGTCTATGTAGACCAGAACAAATTTCTTTGTTACACAGACACAATTCATTGGCAAGATATTGTTCGGAATCCGTGGCCTTCCAACTTGACTCTCGTGTCAACAAACGGTAGCTCAGGATGTGAGTAACATTATCCTTGTTAATGTCTCAAAATATTCTTCTACTTCTTGTAAAAACAAACAGCTAATGTTTATCATGTCATTAATAATATTTTGAATTTCGATTGCATACATTGAAATGTTCAGTTATATATAACAGAACAATCTTTTGCTTCTAGTTAACTCTCTTTTCAGAGTGATAACTTCCCTTTTATAAATTCTTCTCTTAACATGACTTATTTTGCTAGATCGAAATACTTTACCATATTTGTAATGTCTAAGTATTCTAATGTCCAAATGTTTAAACATGCCCCATTGCCCATAAACGTAAGGCTGGCGTCAAACTCTGGCTTCAACTCTCTGTGTGAGTCATGTACCACAGAGAAAATGTGGTAGAAGAAAAATATTACTTCCTATTCACTATAATATGTTAAATTAAAAAAAAACAACAACAACAAAACACTGATGAACATTTTAGAATTCCGAAGCCTCCATTTGCCCTTGAAACCTTCATAGTAATACTGTATAACAATTCCAAGCACCTTAAATAGAGTGGAGAAATACAGATTTCATAGAAGAGATATATGTTACATTCTGGTTTTAGTCATTAGCCTAATAAACTATCCAATTTCCCATTCGCAAAGTGTATTGTTTCTATCACAGAGGATTTATCAGATTCAGAGTGTTTAATATGATTAAATGACAAGCAAGTAATATTTGAAATATATCATTAAAATCTCAGAAAATTATTCTGTCTAGAATCTGTTTCATTTTCATAAAGCAGGCTGTGTGGTCCCCACATTTATTACTACTGACATTTGTATGAGAACAGAATCTTTATCAAGTGTTAACCTGGGTTTTATATTTCTCATCTATTTTTTTATATTTCCCGCCTGAAATCATAACTATCTTCACACTGTTCAATAATTATTTGCCATAGTACTGATTGTGTTATGACACTTTTGCAGAAAATCAAGCTCCGAGGGACAATTATTAAATTTCATGATTGTCCTAATAATATAATGGGGAAATAGGAATATATTTGATCCAAACTGACAGCTATGTTTTTAATAATGGCTAAAACTTTTTTTAAAGTAGAGTAAAATAATTTTCTTGTCACTTTTGAGCAGAAATTTATATGAGATTTCATCTTTATAGCGTTCAAGTTGCCTACCTTGTACAATTACGTGTGAATAAAAAATTGAATCTATTCATACTAACAAGACAAATAATGTGCTTTAGAAATGGCTTCTGTTTTCAGTCTGCACATACTATGGTACATTTTGTATATTTGGAGGGGGGCGAGAAGCATAATGGTTGGGGAAGAGGAAAGGCCTACTGACTCTTCGCTTATTAGAGTGACCAGCCTATAATTGCATGTATGAGATCAGGAAAGAATGAAACCCAGGCAAGACAGAAGCCAAAGGGAAGCCTTACAGGATGCAGAACAGGAAAGGTCTGGGGGGTTCCTGCACTTTCACAGATGGCATATCTTTGTGCTATTGTTTGTGGGCAATTTTGGATGGTTTTGCCTGTAATTAGGCAACTGTAGCTGCATTTGTCTTGCATGCAAATAATTGCAGGTGCAAAAATTACAAATGCAGAGTAGAGTCATAACAAATGGTCCTTTACAATTAACCACCAAATGCTTGTTGAAGTTTTATTCTTTACATACTAGTTTTATTTGTTGATACATTAAATATATTGCATGACACCATAGCTGATAATTAGAATTGGCTAATCTTTGAATATTGGTTTCAACGTAGCCTATTTTTTCCTTTACCTTCTCCCTATGGGTGATGACAGATACTCTCATGGTTTTAAATGCAAACTTCTGCACTGATGACTCCCAGAACTACATACCACCCAAGTTAAAAATCTGGTGGTCATCATGGACTTCGCCTGCTCATTGGTCATGGCATTGATTTAATCATTAAATCATACTGAATTTGTCTATTTCTTGATTTTACATATTTCTTATTGCCATTGCTCCAGTTCAGACTTCATCCATTGTCTGAGTTACTGAAACAATCTTAATTCTTAATAAGTTTTGAGGCTACAAACCCTGTGTAGTCTGGTGAAATCAATAGCTCCCTTCTTACAATATGTTTAAACTAATAAATAGGCAAAGAATAAACATTATATATCATAAATGCATAAAACCAATATGTTTATAAAATACATTTTAAAAGATTACATACAAGGGAAATGAATTATACTGAAACACATTTATCAACATACTTAAAAATAAATATGTGATATGGTAATATGCTTCTTCATTAGTACATTAAATAAAAAAAATTCTAACAGCAGGATTAACAGGCAATGTAGTTGTGAAGCAGAGATAGGCCTAAATATTACTTTAAAAAGGACAGTCACTTTAACAAGTGGTGTTGGAAAAATTGGATATTCCCATGTACAATATTGAAGTAAGACTTTTACCTGACACTATATATAAGAAATTAACTCAAAATGAATTAAAGACCTAAACATAAGACCATAAACCATAAAAATCCTAGAAGAAAACATAGAGGAAAAGCTTCATGGCATTGAATTTGGCAATGATTCTTACAGCTGCCACCAAAAGCAAAGCCAACAAAAGCAAAATAGAAAAAAACGGGGCTACATAAAACTTAAAAACTTCTGCGCATCAAAGGATGCAATCAACAAAGTTAAAGGCAACTTACAGAATGGGAGAAAAATTTACAAGTTATATATTTGGTAAGGGGTTAATATCCAGAATATATAAAGAACTTTTACAACTCAATAACGAAAACAACCTGGTTCAGAAATGGGCATGCAGTTGAAATAGCATTTCTCCAAAGATGATATACAAATGGCCAACAACAATATGAAAAGATGTTCAATATGACATTGATTTGAAATCTAAGTCATAACCATGAGATATCACATTATACCCATTAGAAGGACTATCATCAAAATAGTCGAAAATGACAAGTCTTGGTGAAGATGTTTGAAGAATCTGAAACCTCTGTACACTGTTGGTGGGATTTTAAAGTTGTAAAATAGCAATGGAAAATAGTATGGTAGTTCCTCAAAAATTAAAAATAGAACTACTATATTATCCAGCAACTCTACTTCTTGGTATATATTTAAAGAATTGAAAACAGTCTCAGAGCAATATTTGCACATGCATATTTATAGTAGCACCCCAATGTTCACTAATGAAAGAATGCACGAACAAAATCTGGCGTGTGTGTATGTGTGTGTGTGTGTGTGTGTGTGTGTGTGTATACACACACACGTTGGAACATTATTCAGCCTTAAAAAAGTAAGAAAATTATGACATATGTTACAACATGGGTGAACCTTGATGACGTTTTGCTATGCAAAATAAGCCAGTCACAAAAAGACTGTATGTCCACTTATATGAGGTATCTAAAGTAGTCAAATTCATACAAACTGAAAGAAGAATGGTGGTTACCAGGAGCTGGGAGAATTGGGAAATGGGGAATTTCTGTTTAATGAGTATAGAGTTTCAGTTTTGTAAGATGAAAAAGTTTTGTAGATTGCACAACGATGTAAATATAATTAACACTACTGAGTTGCACACTTAAAAATGGTTATGAGAGTAGATGTTATGTTGTCTGTTTTTACTATAATTAAAAATAGAGAAAAAGGTAAAGAAAGAAAAAGCAAGCAAGAAGAAAGAAAGAAAGAAAGAAAGAAAGAAAGAAAGAAAGAAAGAAAGAAAGAGAGGGAGCTTTTATGATACTGCTAAGTACCAGAATAGAGTATGAATGCATCTTTAGTTTCTTTTGGTCGCAGTGTGGTTGGCACTGCCCACATTATCAGGACCTTATATTCATAATTGTTGAAAGTCATATATTTAATAAGAGATTAATGTGAATAATAATGTAACAATTCCTCATTCACGTTCATGGACCTCCTAAATTCCATCCATAAGCCCTTTAGGGGCCCCAGGCCTCCTCGTTAAGAGGCCACCCTGTCTTTAACTACTCTCCTTGCCTCCAGTTTTGACAAATCCACCTGAGAAAGTGCTACCAAGAGCACTGTTTAATGGATATCTAACTATGACCCTGTCTAAAAACCCTGTCACTGCAACTGACTAATGTGGGGTCAGTTCTTAATAAAACCAGAGGCTTGGAGATTTTAGCAGATTCCTGCTTATTTCTCCCCTCAATGGAATAAGTTCTTATAATTTCTTTGTCTGTACTGCCTTTGCTTTTCTGTCTGCCAGACTAAATTTTTCTTATACGCATCACACTTATCAATTGTTACCTCTTCTAAGAAGTGTTCTCTTCTACAGGCTGGATTAGGTAACTTTTCCCACATAACTGCATAAAGAGCAGGGCTAAATCCTTGCATTCTGTCTCACTCTAAAATGAAAGTCCTATAGGACAAGGCCCAGGTCATCATTTTGTCCTCTGTTTTAGCACATAATGGATGGATAAAAGTTTTATACTGAATAAATGGATAACTAAATGAAACAATCAATTCATAAATAAGAAAATCAGATGAATCTAAGTAATAATTTCTTCTGTTCATCATATGTACAAGAATGGATGTGAAGTAAAAGTTATATCCATACATACGTAGCTTATTCATTTTAAGTCTTTTTCAGGTAAAAATGGCAACCTACATCTGTGTGCTTAATTTAATTTAAATTTTTTTTTCAACGTTTTTT